AAGTATGACATGCTGGTAGGCAGTATGACTTATATCGCCCACAACTCACTTGTGTTCTACTCGTGCATATAACATCAACATAAATAACCTGGCTCGGATGCCACTGTTGGGTTTCGTAGTAATTTCAAAAAAATTCCTACGCACACGCAAGATCATGTGATGCATAGCAACGAGAGGGGAGAGTGCTGTCTACGTACCCATGCAGACCGACTGCGGAAGCGTTGACACAACGTAGAGGAAGTAGTCGTACGTCTTCACGATCCAACCGATCAAGCACCGAAACTACGGCACCTCCGAGTTCGAGCACACGTACAGCTCGATGACGATCCCCGGACTCCGATCCAGCAAAGTGTCAGGGAAGAGTTCCGTCAGCACGACGGCGTGGTGACGATCTTGATGCACTACAGCAGCAGGGCTACGTCTAAACTCCGCTACAGTATTATCGAGGACTATGGTCGTTGGGGCACCGCACACGGCTAAGGAATAGATCACGTGGATCAACTTATGTGTTTCTGGGGTGCCTCTGCCTCAGTATATAAAGGAGCCAAGGGGGAGGGGACCGCCGGCCAGGAGGTGGGCGCAGGAGGAGTCCTACTCCTCCCGGGAGTAGGACTCCCCACCCCCCAATCCTAGTTGGACTAGGATTCCCCGAGGGGGAAAGAGGGAGAGGGGGGCCGGCAACCTCTCCTAGTCCTAATAGGACTAGGGGAGGGGGAGGTGCGCGGCCACATTGGGCTGCCCCTTTCTCCTTTCCACTAAAGCCCATTAAGGCCCATATGGCTCTCGGGGGGGTCCGGTAATCTCCCGGTACTCCGGTAAAATCCGAATTTCACCCGGAACATTTCTGATGTCCAAATATAGGCTTCCAATATATCAATCTTTATGTATCGACCATTTCGAGACTCCTCGTCATGTCCGTGATCACATCCGGGACTCTGAACAACCTTCGGTACATCAAAATGCATAAACTCATAATATAACTGTCATCGTAACCTTAAGCGTGCGGACCCTACGGGTTCGAGAACAATGTAGACATGACCGAGATACGTCTCCTGTCAATAACCAATAGCGGGACCTGGATGCCCATATTGGCTCCTACATATTCTACGAAGATCTTTATCGGTCAGACCGCATAACAACATACGTTGTTCCCTTTGTCATCGGTATGTTACTTGCCCGAGATTCGATCGTCGGTATTCCAATACCTAGTTCAATCTCGTTACCGGCAAGTCTCTTTACTCGTTCTGTAATACATCATCCCGCAACTAACTCATTTAGTTGCAATGCTTGCAAGACTTAAGTGATGTGTATTACCGAGAGGGCCCAGAGATACCTCTCCGACAATCGGAGTGACAAAACCTAATCTCGAAATACGCCAACCCAACATGTACCTTTGGAGACACCTGTAGTACTCCTTTATAATCACCCAGTTACGTTGTGACGTTTGGTAGTACCCAAAGTGTTCCTCCGGTAAACGGGAGTTGCATAATCTCATAGTTATAGGAACATGTATAAGTCACGAAGAAAGCAATAGAAACATACTAAACGATCGGGTGCTAAGCTAATGGAATGGGTCATGTCAATCAGATCATTCTCTTAATGATGTGATCCCGTTAATCAAATAACAACTCATTGTTCATGGTTAGGAAACATAACCATCTTTGATTAACGAGCTAGTCAAGTAGAGGCATACTAGTGACACTTTGTTTGTCTATGTATTCACACATGTATTATGTTTCCGGTTAATACAATTCTAGCATGAATAATAAACCTCTATCATGATTATAAGGAAATAAATAATAACTTTATTATTGCCTCTAGGGCATATTTCCTTCAGTTATATATAAAGCAACATCGCTACACTATGTGTATCTATGAATTTTGCTATGATTGTCCCAATTTGCGTGTCATGGCTGCTCAATTGCCTATTGTTGATGGTCAGTTGCCTACAGTTGATATTCAATTGCCTATAAATGCTATAAATTGCCTACTATTGATGCCTAGTTACTGCTATTGGTAATTAGTTGCCTACAATTGCTGCTCTGTTGCCTAACTTTACAAAATTAGTTGCTTACAATATTATGAAGTTATTTATCATTGTTTTTATAAGTTGCCTACAAACACTCTGAAGTGGTTTAGATTCACCATCATGTTGGTCTATCATAACTAGCAATAGCAGACACAGGAGCATCACTAGTAGATGACTTCATAGTATAATAGCAATTTAGAAACAACACAAAATTAGTTGCTTACAATATTATGAAGTTATTTATCATTGTTTTTATAAGTTGCCTAAAACACTCTGAAGTGGTTTACATTCACCATCATGTTGGTCTACCATAACTAGCAATAGCAGACACGGGAGCATCACTGGTAGATGACTTCATAGTATAATAGCAATTTAGAAACAACGGCATACGAGCATGATCAATAGGCAAGTTAGAAGTACGAGTGAGGAAATTAGGATTGACTTTTTTGAAAAGGAGGAATACGCCCGACCTCTGCATCTTGATGCACACAGCCAAATTATGGACAAAATTAACTAGGACACAAAATGTAGTGAAGTTGCCTGCTTTTAGCTCTAAAGTTGCCTCTTGTAGAAGGAAAGTTGATATGACGGTGATGTGATATTATCTACCTCTATTTCAAAGTTTTTATGCATTATTACTTAGTTGCTTATTCTTGGTAATTAGTTATTTTTAATGGAGTGAAGTTGCTTCTATTTGGCATTAAAGTTGCATCATGTAGCATAAAAGTTGCTTTGAATTTTTTTAAAGAAACGCATCCATGTGGTTTCGTTTTGAAGAGCTTTTCGCGACCTGGCTAGCCAACCCATGTGTGTTTTCATCATTATATCTGAAGATTTCAATGATTTTTACAGGCAACTCAACTAAAAATTAAGAATTTACATAGGTTTGTGGGCAATTGTCTGATCTACCAACTTCTGGTTACCCCCTATGCAACTTCTTATCTAACACCCGTGACCTGGCTAGCCAACAACCGCGCACTCAGTAGTGTTGGCATCTTAGGTCCTCTGATGGAAAACTTTCATAGTATATTAGGCAATTAGGGATCACCCGTAGACAACTTCGTAGCGACGTAGGCAACTTGGTTTCTGAGGTAGACAATTTGGAAACCATGTTAGAAAACTTCCCACTTTACAGTGAGCAACTTTCACATTATGGTAGGCGACTGAACTATGTACAACTTAGTTTTTGATGTATGCAACTTAGCAACCATGGTAACCACCTATTACACTATTGCACACAACTAAGTAGGAGGCTACTCGGCGAAATTCACTTATACATTGGTGCAATTCTTCTAGCATCAAAATTGCTCATGCTTAGAACTAAACTTGCCTCGTCTAACATCAAAGTTGCTTTTGGAAAAACATCAAAACATGTTCATATGGATCTAGTTTTGAAGAGCTTGTCACGAGGAACCCAACTGTGAAAACGGATCATAATTCCGGCACGCGGTTTGAAAGTTATAGCTTTTTGAATTTTTTGTAGCAGAATTAATGCACGTTATGTCATCGCTGGGTTCACGCGAAGGGTCGGACAAGGTGAAGAAAATCAACGTACTACAGTGAAAGAATCTTTCCATATATAGAATGGGTGGGTGGGCAATTTTCCAAATCAGGGGTCAGTTTGTCGCGTCATTTAGTCTTTGAACGTGCGCTCGGATCAACCGAAAAGTGCAGCTGCACTTTCTAGCATTTAGGTAATATTTTATTCTCGCGAGATTTGTCATAATATGAGCCAGACAACACAATTGTAGGGGAGTGTCTAAACCCCAAAAATCTTGCTATAGGTACGACAAATTTTGGAAGATTCTAGGACGACGGTTAAAAACAGCCACACCACACATGCGTAGGATTAACTTTGCGAGGGGTCAGACGAAAATGGGACAGTACATGTCGTCCGTGGAGCAGTTTCGAAACCACAAAGAAACAATGAGGATTACAGAATTATTTGTTTCTCCTCTTGTGTTGAGAACTTCAGATACGGACAATGATACAACCTAGAACCAAGGACGACAGCGTCGTCCACAACATGAATCTAGCAGCGGGCGAGAGCCATCCAGCAATGCCGGCATCGGATACCTGAGCCTGACCCTCAGAAGAAGAAGCGGCCTTGCTCTTCTCTTCAAGAACGTCTCTTCTCTTTTGGAGCTGCAGCCGGCACCTCCGCACCGCTTCCCGGAGCGGCATGTGGTACAAGTGGCTGCGGACCTCGACGGTGAGGTCCGCCTCTCTCGGCACCAGGTAGAAGAAGCCGGCGTCCAGGCGGCGGTCCTTGTACCGCGTGGCTGCCTGGTGGATGGTCCTGATGAGGCCCCGGATGGTTTGCCGCTGCTTTTTGTAGGCCTTCCACTTGAACATGCCCATACTCTTGAGATGGTTGTAGACGACCGTCGCCGCCCGCAGGTCCTCCCTGAGCGCTACCTCGCGCCCTAGCGGCGTGGTCCGCAGCATGGCGGCGCCCTCGTCGTCGCATATCCTGATGCCGCGCTCGTCGCGGATGCACAGCCGGAGCTTCCTTGTCCCCGTCTTGAATCCTCTTGGCTTGGCGCTGCTGCGTCGTCCTCCTTCTCTACAATTTGAATAAGTTTTTTAACACATGAAGATGGCGAGTAGAAGCCGAGAGATGGAGAGAGAGAGCGCCATCGATCGACATGTGAACGTACCTACGGCCACCGCTGACGGTGGGGATCTCTTCCATCTCGATCGATCGCCGGCGACAAAACAAACGCGCGATGCCGGCGATGCTACCATATCATCATCAATCGAGGAAAATTATATATACGTGCACGGTGCTGATCGTATCCGAGAAGGAGCTGGACTCGTATCGGTTAATGACTCCCCAAACTCTGTTTGTCTAATGGTTTATATCCCACCCATCCTGGCCAATAAATTTAATCGATCGGCCACCTAGCGACGGCGCCTAGTATATATATCTACTCGCGCGTATACTCCGGCGACCGATCGAGAAGAAAAGATGGACGTTGCCGTCGCCGCACCTACAACTAATTTTTACGGGCAAGACCTCGTGAGTTTTCAGTCGAAGCTTGGCATTCTCGCTCCGGCCACCTGGCTGTCTCACCCCGCCGACGAGCTTTTAATGCTCGGCATCGACGGCTTGCCTTTCAGCAAGGAGGCTGGCGACACCGACATCGCCCTCGTCGATCGGAGCTTTCTCCATGTCGGACAGGCCGTAGTATCGGCGTCGGACGTCGGCGGCCAGATCGGCGTCGTCACCGGCGTCACCACAACGCTCGACCTCGTGGACCGTGGCGGCGACGCGACAGGGGAAGTCATCGGGGGCCTGCCGCCCTCAGCTGTGCGGCGTGTCAGGGCGCTCAGCCTCGGGGATTACGTCGTGTCTGGGCAAGGGCAGTGGCTGGGCCGCGTGGTTGAGGTGTCCCTGGACGTGGACGTCGTGTTCGACGACGGCGCTATCTGCAGGGTCACGGACGCCGAGTCACCAACCATGCAGTTATGGCCGGCAGAAAGCACACCGGGTCTTCACCGTCAACAGACGAACGTCACCTTCTACCCTGGGCTGAGCGTCGCCTCCGGCGACCCCTCGGTCGTCTTCGGAGGGGCGCAGTGGCTAAGTGGCCACTGGAAGAAAAGGCATGAAGTGGGGATGGTGACCAAGGTGGAGATGGCCGGCGTCCTTGTCCACTGGATCGTGTCCGCCTACGGCGACACGGACGAGCAGTTCCTCCACGGGTCCGCTCCTCCGGCTTACCAAGAACCTGAGAACCTAATGTATTTCTGCTCCGCGTACGAGTGCAGCTGGGGAGTAGGCGACCGTTGCTTCCTCCGAGAAAGCACTGCTGCTTCCCCTAGTTCAGAAATCGATTCTCTTCATGATCCACAACACCAGATTTTACTGCAATCGTTAACTGCCGGCCTAGCAACCGCTCCAGTGGACAAGGAGGAGAGATCGTACCGCAAGCAGCTGAGGAAGCCCATGTTCATACGGTATAGGGGGCGGGCACGACGAGGCTACCAGTGGTCGGCACCGCTGCGCACCATGACCGTCTTCCGCACTCGCACCACCGTTAACGTGTTGTGGCAGGACGGCACGCGACAACACGGGGTGCCGTCGACGTCCCTCAACCCCTTCGACATGATGAACGAGCACGAGGTCTTCCCCGGGCAGTATGTCATCGACGCTCGAGATGACGACTTCACCGGGGGATCAACCGTGCGGCGTGTCGGTGTCGTCAGGAACCTAAATTCCAAGGACCACACGGCGCATGTGTCGTGGTTCAAGGCGGCGTCTGGAGGGCGGGAGGTGGAATGCGACGACGAGGCCGTTAGTGTGTATGATCTAGGCAGAGACCCTGACCACTCCGTTTTCTATGGGGACGTCGTGGTTCGTACACTATCATCAAACGTGAGTGAAAATAATGCACGGCAACCACAGGTCCTCGATCTTTCATGGGTTGGTCGTGTTGTTGACTTGAGTGACGGCCACATCCATGTCAAATGGGGCGACGACACCACGTCAATGGTAAGCCATCTATTTTTCCTGATATAATTTATCATATAAGCAATGTACCAATGTTTTTTTTTCAAGTATAAATATAAATTAATTTGTATAATTTTCTATGTTGCATAATCTGTATTTTATTGGTCAAGTTCACACATTGATACTCATATATTTTGCATACAGGGTCACTTCATTTTATATGTCAAACTTTGACTTATAATTTTGATCAATAACATATGAGTTATATGTCATAAAAATATACGATTGGAAAGTTCTTTGAAATGTGTTTCAAATGACACATTTTTTGTGGCATATAATTTACTTTTTGTTGGTAAACTTAATGATCAAAGTTAGACATAAAAATATGATGCGGCCTTGTATATATATAGAAAACTAGATGGAGTACGGATGTTTTAGATACGATCTAATAACTGTTTTAATTCTATATATGATTTTTCAGGTATTACCCCATGAGATCACTGTTGCCAGCAAGGAACACTACAGCGAACTGCAGGCTGAAATGGGCGACTGGCTGGAGGAGGACAGCGTTGATAATCATCAAGAATCTGGTGCTGCTGATGTGGTATCTATCTAGAAACATTATGTACATAGCTATCAACTTAACTATGCATCACAAAACCGTATCTTACTAATAATGTGGCAAATAATACATCCTATATATCCAATCACAGGACAATGTTCCAACAGATACTAGGAATATCCAAGGTGCCAGGGTTGAAGACGGTGGCAGTTCTGCTAATGAATCAGATGGCCATGCCGCTACAAGAACAAACCGGTTGGGTGGTGTCATCCAGTCCATGATCCGATCGGTGGTTCAAGTGTTGGCTCGAGCCAAGTTGTTGTATCTTGTCAACCGCACATCGTCGTCAACCTCGGATTTGCCAGCTGCGGGCATGCACAATGTTGTTGAAGTGCCTACGCATGTATCCTTGGGTGGTAGTCACGTACATACTAGCATCGAGGGCGTTGTCACGGAGGTCGTCTTTCCTCCAGTGATAAGAAGCGATGAGACTGGCGACGGTGATGTCAAGTATGCGGTGAGGTCGGGAGAAGCCGCCACTGGTGATGATGACACGTTAAAATTCCCAAACTTTGACGTAGTGCAGAGTCCGCCGGACCACCATTACCTTGACACCATGGAGCAGGTACG